GGTTAATGTCTGAACAAGAAAAGGCAACAATCGTTTTTTCTGAACCTAGGTACTGGGTGGGGCTGGGAATGGAGGGTGGGGGAGGGTAAGAGAGCAGAAGGGGTGGTGATTTTCATTCCGCTGAGAGTTAACTATTTCAATTGGATGATGCCTACCTTCCTTCGTGCAATGGACTTGTACTGAGTGCCTGTTACGAGCTAAAGCTAGGCAATTGGGATCCAAAGAGGTTTGTCCACGTGTCGCAGCCCCAGCACTTGCCTGGGTGTCACCTCTGCGTGCCATTCCTTAGGAGAAGGTGACTCAGTGCAGGCAAGACCCGGGACACCAAACTCAACCAGAGACCAAGCAGGGCCACACCCGGCACCACTCCCAAAGCAACTTGCCTTTTAGAGATTGGTAGAGCCTTTCCTTGGAAATCCAATCTGTGCTGAGTTGAATGAAGGAGCATCCTGATTGGAATATGTCCATCAAAAGGAGGGCGGGTCTAACTGGCCGGATGTTAAGCAGCGATGATTTTAAATGCCTTTGAAAGCACAAGGACCTTCCTCCTCATCTTGGCTCTGAAAGGAAATGAAATAGGAAGTAGAGTGAGTGACACTAAATCAAAGGGTAAGTCTTGTTTCATGGAACTTGCTTTGCTCAGAAATGCAGGAGGATGTGTGTATTGAGTTTACCAGTTAGAATGTGTTTTTTAACCTGGATCCCAATTATAAGGTTTTGAAAACCATGGATGGGACGCGTACATCATGCTAGAAGCAGGTGGGGAATGATCGTGGCCAGTAAATTTCTAATGTGTAGACTGCTGATCTAGGCTGTCTTGGGCCACTAAGGCCCGACTTTTAGACAGATGAAGGTGGAAAGTAAATACTCTTTCAAGAAAGCATATGCTGGGTTGAAATTTCCTTGAAGTTGCATTTTCTGGTCCCCAAAAATCATATAAGTATATTGCTTTACATTTGGCCGGCTCTGTTTCATATTAAAATGCTTACATTATTTATTATCAAGAGAGTAGGCCTGTCTTCCCTTTCTCCCCTTTTTCGTTCATCTTTGAAAATGGTAAGATCATCCACTAAATTACTACAGCAAAACAAAACAACAAAACAGGACTGCCAGCTGGGAACTGTGAGACGGGAAGGGTTTAGGAGAGAAGAAGCTGGAGGCGGGGCTGCTTTGCTCTAGAAAAGTTAGAAGAAAGAAATGAGCCCAGGGGAGCTGCTATGTGCCCCCTGAGAATTCAGAGAAAAGGAGTCTCGGGGACAGGCTCAGGGGGTCAGTCCCAGACCCTAACCCCCATCTCAAGTCTCCTGGGGATCCTTAGAGTTTAGGAGATTCAGGTCTGAGAGGGAAGATGGGGTGAGGGAAGAGTAAGGTGCTGCTGCCTGCGTAGGTGATTTTTTTATATTTTGGTTTTCACTCTTCCCTCCCTCAACCCATGCTCGCACATCAGCCCTGATCTATTCCTCTTTTAACCTAAGCCAGAGCAGGCTACTTTTTGTTTTCTCTTTTGCTTGTAAGGAAGCTGGTAATGGTTCCCATGGGTTCGTAGAGAAGCCCGTAATGGCTCCCACTGGCTTGGGAAAGCAATGCAAATGGCTCCCCGGGCCTGGCCCACAAGATACGCACCTTCCTTAATCTTATCTTGGGCCACTTCTGTCCTCGCCGCCATATTTTGGAATAAGCCTGGCTTTCTTTGACCTCCAGCCTGCCCGTCCCTTTGTCCTCAAGCCTGCAGCATGGAAAGAACATGCTTCCCCCACCTGACACTCTTTCCCCCCCTCCCGCCCTCCACCCCCTCTCAGTCTAATGCCCCATCCATGGCGGCCTTTCCAGACTTTCTAAAGATGGCTCCCCATGAACTGTTTCCATTCAGCTTCATATTTCACTGCATTTCTCTTAATCCAAATCAGACAAGCACATTCATGTTTACATTTACATTCCACCTGGAATAAAGCTCCCCCAAGCCAAGGACTTTATGTCCTTTTCACAGGTCTGGGGTAGGCACTCAGAATGACATTTGGAATGAAATATTTTCAAGTGACTGACTAGGTACATGATGCACCATTGTAGTATTTCTGTTCCAGTTTGAGAAATATAAAAGTAGGTCCATTAACATCTAGGTGTTTTTTTTTTTTTTTTAATGGAATTTACTAGGGTGACATTGGTTAATAAAATTAGGTCTTAATAAAAGTAGGTCTCAGGGGTACAATTCTAAAATACATCATCTGCATATTGTATGTTCACCACCCCAAGTCAAGTCTCCTTCCATCACCATTTATCCCCTTTCACCCCTTCCTACCTCCCTTCACCCTTTTTTCTTCTGGTAATCACTATACTGTTGTCTGTCTGAGAGTTTGGGTTTTTTGTTGTTGTTGCTGATCCCTTTACTTTTTCACCAGGCCTCCTTCCCAATCCCTTCTGAACATCCAGATTTTTTTCTTCATACCTTGTTTACCTAATACACTTTCCTGGTAGTTATCAACACCATCAGAGAATGTACTTATCATACAAACAGGAGTTTTCCCATTACAAATTACCATTTTAATTTTATACATCATCCTCACAAGCTATTGTGTGAGAAATGGCAAAAGACTCAGAAAAATAATAAGAATCTAGCTTAGAAAGGTAAGGGGTATCCTTGGACCCTGGTGAATTCATCAAGAAAATACCTCTTTCAACCCTACTCTCAGAGGTGATGTCTTTGTAGACAGATAATACCTTAGCATCATTTTTAACCAACATTTTGAAACTTCTACATTGTGTGTCTAAAGTCCCAAATAATTTTCTAATAAATTAATGTTCTAGAATTGCTATATCAGATATCACCAATATGATGACTGATGCATATTTATAAATTCATTTCATTAGACAACTGTACTGAGTGCTGGGACCTGTGAATAGAACAGAAGAGGACTTAGCTCTCATATTCTAGTAGGTAAGACAGACCTTAAATAATCAGTACCTGGGATGCTGATCTGTGTAAGATCTAGGAGAATATTTAGCTTGGGGACCAAATTGAGCTTTAGAATCAAGAGAAACTTGCCTGAGGAAGTGTGTATGTGTATGAGTACTGATACAGAAGGGGAAAAGGTGGGTAGCGTTTTTATGGAGAGAGAAGAGCATGGCACTTCATTGGAGGCAAAGTTAATTATTACTGGGGAAAAAAAATAGAGTTGGAGATGGCAAGAAATAATATGAAGAGCAAGACTGAAATCAAATCATTTGATAGTTATTTTAAACTAGAGGCCCAATGCATGGAATTCATGCACTGGAAGGGGAAGAGGTGGCCCTCAGCCCAGCCTGTACCCTTTCTAATCTGGGACCCCTCAGAAGATGTCAGACTGCTGGTTTAAGCTCCATCCCCCACAGGGATGGGGCCTAAATCAGCAGTCAGACATCCCTGTCAAAATCCAGGCAGGACTGCTGGCTCCTAACCACTTGCCTGCCTGTCTGCCTGATTGTCCCTAACCACTCTGCCTACCAGCTTGATGGCCCCCTAACTGCTCCCCTGCTGGCCATCTTGTGGCAGCCATCTTGTGATGATGTGGGGACAGCCATCTTGTGATGCAAGTGCATGAGGGTCAATTTGCATACTACCTCTTTATTATACAGGATAGACAGTTGAAGAAGGGGGATTTAACACTTGTAACTTTATACATTTTATATGTATATGTAAATCATGTATGTAAACATTACATATTATGTATATAATATTACATATAAAATACATTATATATTAACAGCTTGAAAATAATTTTAAATAGCTATATTTTAAAATACCACCTTAATATCAGATGGGTATGAGACTTATTGGTTGGGGTGACTACTTTGTAAGTTATGCAAAGGTCTAATCATTTCTTTTTACATCTGAAACTAATATAATATTATATGTCAGCATTACTGAAATTAAAAAAAAAATTAAATCAAAATAACATTTCAAAAGAATAATCTCAGGCTATTAATTTTCACTCCAGTGCTTTCATATATGCCCCCCTTTTAAAAAGCATTTCATTTTTTGTTTCGACAGCAGGATGTTAGGACAATAAAAGTAAGAGTTCTTTTATAAGGTACACAATTGTAACATCAAGCAAAGGCTCCTAGAAAGGATATAATACATTCATTCCATCACTCTTTGTTTAAGAAGTGACAGAAAACTATGGAATGCAGTCATGTTCATCCTTTGTGTATTATCGATGGCTGCTCCTACTACAATGGCAGAGTTGAATAGTTGCGACAGAGATCATAGGGCCTACGAAGCTGAAATCTGGCTCCTGACAGAAGGAATTTGCCTCTTGGTGTAGAATAGTGCGTGACACAAAGCAGGCTTCCCCCTATACTTAAAGAATGAATACAGAGCTGGTCAGGTAACACTGGCTCACATAAGCATTCCCATTCGCTCTGTGCCATGAACTGTGCTAAACACTTTACATGCAGTATTTGATTTGATTTGAGTTTCATAACAGTATTACATAAGAAAATAGGCACGTCTTGCTCTCTTACCTCCTTCAAGTTTTTAGTCAACTGACACTACCCTGAACATCCTGTTCAAAATTGCAAACTACTTTCTACCCCCCCTTGCATTACCCTATAGCACTTTACCTTCTCACACATGTCATACATACTTATTTTGTACTCTTATGAGTATGTTCATGTGTTACTTACTGATGTGTTTCCACCCATGAGCAGACCTGGGCTAGCATAGAGTGAGTGCCCAATAAACAAAGGTTAGGTGACCAAGTGGGGGTGTCCAGGTAAGACCCATGTCTTACATCAAAGCTCATTCTCTTACTCTCTGTGGAGTTTGTTAAGGAAGACGGGGTTAAATGTAGTCATTCCATTATTGAAAAGGAAGTTCTGGGCTATTCCTTTAGGTCATTTTCTGACAATGGCTCTGATGTCTTACCTCATGGTTACTATTTCAAAGCAGGTGCCTGCTGAAGATTTCCCGCTATCACTGTTACCTGGAAGTGGTTGATATCTTTGAGGAGGAACCACTGGACGACATGGAACAGCAACCGAACTCAAGGGCAAAGACACGTGGGTGGAAAGGCCTGGGCAGAAGGGCGCCTGGTGGGAATAAGCCAGAGCCAGCCCGGCAGGAGCCCCTCTTCCCGATGAGGGCCTTGTGGGGGGAAGATGGAGACGGGGGCTACGAGATCAGCTACGAGGTTGGTGAAGAGGACCCCTTCTCTGACTGTTACATAGAGTGCATCATTCGAGGTGAGTTTTCCGAGCCCTCGCTGGAAGAGGACATGTTTCTTGAGTCCTTCCACTGCTTGGGAGGAGGAACAGAGCAAGAGCTCGCTCAGCAGTTTTTTGTTGATGCAAACTCACTTCTTGAATGTTCCTTGCAATACAGGGAAAAGGGAGCAAACCAAGAATTTCCTCCACAGAACAGTGGGGAGACATCCCTTGTTGAGCCTTCTGAGCACATGACAAGCCAGAAGCCTCCCCCTGGAGATACACCCAACCCTTGCCTGCTGGATCCCACCTTGCCTGCAGAATTTGCTAGAGATAAACCAAGAAGAAATGGGGAATGTGGTGCTCTAGGTACATTTGTGTGTCCTGAGAGCGGCTGCGCAAGCAAGATGAAGACGAGAAGTTCCCTGAAGAAGCATCTCCAGCTGGTCCATGGGCCCCGCAACCACGTGTGTGCGGAGTGCGGGAAGGCGTTTCCCGAGAGCTCCAAACTGAAGAGACATTTCATGGTTCACACTGGAGAAAAGCCCTTCCAGTGCACGTTCAAGGGCTGTGGGAAGCGCTTCTCCCTGGCCTTCAACCTGCGTACCCACGTGCGCATCCACACCGGGGAGAGGGCTTTTGTGTGCTCCTATGAGGGCTGTCACAGGCGCTTTGTCCAGGCAGGTAACCTGAAATCTCACATCTTAACTCATGCAAGATAAAAATAATCAATACAGAGAAGATGGGGGGGGGGGGGGAATCTTCAAACAGGGGAAGCATTTTAACAAAGAGTGATTGGGGACACATATGCCTCCGTGATTTATTTTCAGGGAAGAATAGTTGACCTTATGAGGCATATTTTCAAATGTTGCTAAGATGCTCCTATTAATCGTGATGCCATTCTAAGAACATTGTGTACGGACTGTCCTTCCAAAAGAGTAATTCTTAATGTTATGAGTTAGATCATTGGATAAAGGGCTTACTCTCACATATTATAAAGACAAAATTAACTTTGGGGTGTGTGTGTGTGTGTGTGTGTGTTTTAATAAATCTTTATTGATTTCAGGGAGGAAGGGATAGAAACATCAATGATGACAGAGAGACATTGATAGGCTGTGTCCTGCATGTCCCGTACTTGGGATCGAGCCTGAAACCCAGGCATATGCCCTGACTGGGGATCAAACTGTGATCTGATTCATGGGTCAATGCTCAACTATGAGCCATACCGGCTGAGCTAACTTTGGTTTTTAAATTTGTTGTTTCTGTTTAACTTTTGCCTTTTAGGAATATTCTTTGTGCTACGTGTGATAATCCTAAAAAATGAAAATCTTACAATAGATTGTCAATAAGTGAATGAGTAAAACTTTTTTTAAGTTAATTATCATTTGTAATTATTTTCTTTTTTTAATGGCTGTATCCAACTATTGAAATCCTATACCTGGATCTAACTGGTTATTTAGTAGTGTCAGTTCATTTGAATCATTTCAGATATTTTCAAATAAAAGGAAATAACATTCCCAGATATTAAGTCTGAATTGAAAAATCAAAATGTGTGTTAAAGAGAGATAACAAGTTATTTGTCTTTGGTGTGTTTGTTTGTTTGTTTGTTTTGTTAGTCCTCACCTGAGGATATTTTTTCATTGATTTTTAGGGAGAGTGGAAGAGAGAGGGAAAGACTGAGAAAAACATTACTGTGGGAGAAGCACATCAACTGGTTGCCTCCTGAATAAAGAGTCTGCAACCAGCCGGGACTGGTTTGGCTCAATGGATAGAGCATCAGCTTGGAGACTGAAGGGTCCCGGGTTCGATTCCGGTCAAGGGCATGTACCTTGATTGCGGGCATATCCCCAGTAGGGGTGTGCAAGAGGCAGCTGATCGATGACTCTCTCTCATCGATGTTTCTAACTCTCTATCTCTCTCCCTTTCTCTCTGTATAAAAATCAATAAAATATATTTTTTTTTTTAAAAAAAGAGTCTGCAACCAAGGCATGTATCCTTGACCGGAATTGAACCCAGAACCCTTTGGGTCAATCCACTGAGCCAAACTGGCGAGGGCTATTTGTCTTTGAAAGCAGCAAAAATTGCAGGCTAATAGATAGTTCAGTACTGGGAAGGTGTGGGGAAAGAGTGACCCATCTACCTAGTTGTTAAGCTATAAATTGTCACAGCCATTTTGGATGGTGTTTTGCAAGTTTGCTTTGTCAGTTTTCTTGTGCTGCTATAACACTACCACCATGTAGGTGGCTTAACAAACAGAAATGTGTCCTTCCATCAAGTGAGGGTACATGGCCAGACAAGTAATCTGCAACCCGAGAGATGTCTTCTCCAAAATGCAACTATGCTGTCATTGTGATCCTAGACTGCCCAGCCTCCAGAACTATGAGAAATGAATGTCTGTTGTTTATAAGCCAAAGAACAAACAACAAATTTATTGTCTCATAATTCTAGAAACCAGACGTCTGAAAGTCCAAAATCAAGGTGTTGGCAGGATTTATTCTTTCTGTCCCAGGCTTCTCTTGGTTTATAGGTCACTGTCCTCATGTTTACATGGTGTTCTGGTATCTTCTCATCATCTTCCTTCTGTGCTTGTCTGTGTAGAGATTTATTTTACAAGGGCTGATCATTGGATTATAACCCACCCTAATAATCTCTTTTTAACTTGATCACCTCTGTAAAGATCCTCATCTCAAATAGGTCCTATTCAGAGGAACTGAGATGATTTCAACATGAATTTTGGGTAATACATAGTTCAATCCATAACGTGCCTTCTTGTAGACCCAATAATTTCAGTTTTATAGAACTATCTGCACCGTGTATGAAGATATTTGTTGAAGGATGTTAACTGGAACATATTTTTATTAGTAACAAGTTCATAACATAAATGTCCATTAAAAGGGAGCAGGTTGTATAACTGATGATATCTCTACTCAACTGAAAATATGTAAATATCCTTAAAGGAAGCTTAGCTGCAACAGGAAGGCAAGAGGAGCCCAGCTGAAAGAAGCCATAGATTAGGATGAGGTTGTGTTTATTTTTTAAATACTCGACAAATTTTTTTTAAAGTTGTTGATTGATTAATTTAGAGAGAAAGGAAGAGAGAGAGAGAAACATCAGTTTGTTTTCCAGTTCTTTCTGAGTACATTGGTTGATTCTTGCCCTGACAAGGATCAAACCTGCAACCTTGGTGTATTAGGGTGATGCTCTAACCAACTGAGCTACCTGGCCAGGAGGAGGAAGTTGTTTCTTTTTTTCTTTTTCTTTTCTTTTTAATATATTTTATTGATTTTTGTACAGAGAGGAAGGGAGAGAGATAGAGAGCCAGAAACATCGATGAGAGAGAGTCATCGATCAGCTGCCTCTTGCACACCCCCTACTGGGGATATGCCTGCAACCAAGGTACATGCCCTTGACCGGAATCAAACCCGGGACCCTTTAGTCCCCAAGCCGACGCTCTATCCATTGAGCCAAACCGGTCCCGGCGAGGAAGTTGTTTCTAATAGATGGATCAGAATATGGGGTACTTATATGCTTTGGAATGAAAATTTAGAGAAAGTGGTTAACTAATCTCGTTAAAGGGGAACATTGATCATTCAGGACTAGCTGGTAAAAATAAAACTATAGCTCTAATATAGAGATTAACTTGTTTTTGTGATTACAAACTGAATCCCTCATTGGAATACCTTAAAATGAGCAGAAAATAGGCAGCCATTAAACTTGGAATGCATTTTCCCCCAGAGTCAATATTATAGATAATCATATAGTTAGCATACCCACATGTCTTTGATTTTCAGATTTAAGACATCATTGGAGATAATGGTGATATATACCATGAATTTAACAGCATTTGGGGGGGACGGGGGAAAACAGCACAGCAAACAAAATTTAAGGTTAATCTTGATTATAGGAATGCCACAATATAAACACATGTATGGCTTTCTATAGGAATGTGGGTCCTGAATCTCAAACTGAAAGGAGCATTGGATAAATAATCCATTCATACATTTGGAATTTCCTCTGAAGGAAACTCCCAAGTATAAAACTTAGGATGGGAATTTAACTGAGATGATGGAGCATATAGCATATTTGTCTGGTCTTTGCTTTGACAGCAGTATTTGCTTTAGTCCTCTATAGATTTCTACTTCAGAGTTGAATTAGAACATAGCGCCTCTGAAGGCCAAGCAAAGAGAAGGATTATATAGAGAGCAGCTGAGACTAGATAAAATCAATGGAGGGGTTTAGGCTGCAAACAAGACTTGGGACTCAAGGCATCAAGGATCAAGATTGGCTTCCTCTGTGTGAAGGCTATAGAGCACTTTTTCTGGAACTGGAGGGGACAAAAGCTAAGTATTTACAACCCTGAAGCTTAAATGCATAAGGAACATCAATCTGAAGAAAGAGTTTGTGTTGGGATTTCAAGGCTTAGTCAAACTCTGAATCAGGAATAGGCGACTACTTGGTTAGCCTCCTGAATGGTCTTTTGTTTGTTTTTCTTTTCCAAAGAGGAACCCTAAAACTGTTCAGATGCAAGTTTAATGGGGGTGGGTGGGAGGGAAAAGAGATTAGAATATGTCCGCTGAAGTCTTAATGTTTTGCAACAGAAATGTATGTCTCCTTTCTACATTTTTTAAAATAGATTTTATTGTTGTTTTTTTTACAGAGAGGAAGGGAGAGGGATAGAAAGTTAGAAACATCGGTAAGAGCCGAAACTGGTTTGGCTCAATGGATAGAGCGTCTGGCCTGTGGACTTAAAGGTCCCGGGTTTGATTCCGGTCAAGGGCATGTACCTTGGTTACGGGCACATCCCCAGTGCGGGTGTGCAAGAGGCAGCTGATGGATGATTCTCTCTCATCGATGTTTGATGTTTCTAACTCTCTATCCCTCTCTTCCTTTCTGTAAAAAAAAAAAAAAAAATCAAAATATATTTTAAAAAAGAAACATTGATGAGAGAGAAACATCGATCAGCTGCCTCCTGCACACCTCTGCTGGGGATGTGCCTGCAACCAAGGTACATGCCCTTGACAGGAATCGAACCTGGGACCTTTCAGTCCACAAGCCAACACTCTATCCACTGAGCCAAATCGGTCTCGGTATTACATTTGTATTTTAAGTAAGAAAAATGAGCCCAAAATGTGTGCGCACATATCCAGAGAAAACTAAAAAAAGGAGATCATTCCTTCTTGATCTCTACATGTGTCAGATACTGGCATTTACAAATCCTAGTGAACAAACAAGTATTTTTGTTTTCATGCTGGTATTTGAATTCATGGCACATATCCTCCCTCTCTTCCCCCTCCCCCTTTTTTTATAGCCCAAACATTTATTGTCAGAAGGTAACAGATTGGTAGTTACAGAATAGTCATGGGGATGTAGGGTACAACATAGAGAATATAGTCAATAATATTGTGATAACCATGTATGGGGCCAGATGGTTTTAAAGTATATAATTGTCTCATCACTATGCTATACACCTGAAACCAATACAAACTAATACTGAAAGTAAACTGGAAAAAAAAAAAAAAAGACATTTAAAACAAACAGAGAAAGATAACAATAGAGAAATGCTCATTGCTTTCTTAATATTGCTAACACATAGGGCATAGATGGCAATTAATACATTATGATCTAAATAGGGAAATAGCTTAATATAAATTTTAGAAACATAGTTATCAAAATTATATAAAATTAAAAAACAGTTAATAAAGGAAGCATTGCTTGTTTTTAA